GTCTGGTGGTGTTGAGCAGATTGCTAATCATACAAGATAACATGCACTCTCCCAAAAACTATAACTAAAGTCTGCTCAGCATAGTTGCAGTATAAACCACAGGTGGGCTATTGTGGGTGTTGAACAAACAGAAATGTACGTGAGCGAGAGTGCAGTAAGGATTGCCTAGACGCCCTAGTAGCCGGGCATCCTCGAATATGAGTGGCTAGCTATATATATATATATATATATATATATATATATATATATTATTTTATGTATATATATATATATATATATATATATATATGTGTGTGTGTGTGATATATATATATATATATATATATATATATATATATATATATATATATATATATATTTTTTAAAGACATTTTTTATGTTTAACGTTCTTTTTTATAGATACAAGTATTTAAGTAAATGCTCTGTTTATAATAAACAGTATTAAATAACATTTACCGGCCTGAATGTCGGAGAAATTTTTATAGAAAATATTCGTCCTTTGACAGGATTCGAACCTGCATCCTATACGGAAACGTCATTTACGCTGACGTGCCTTAACCGACTCGGCCACAAAGGAACGGTAGGCAAGGTCGAATTTACTGCTTATAGTTATTTAATACTGTTTATTATAAACAGAGCATTTACTTAAATACTTGCATCTATAAAAAGAACGTTAAACATAAAATGTTTTAATCAATAAATAAATTGTCGGACTTTGTCCATTTCTTAATATATATATATATATATATATATATATATATATATATATATATATATATATATATATATATATATATATATATATATATATATATATATATATATATATATATATATATATATATATATATATATATATATATATATATATATATATATATAGCGACAGTGAGAGAATTACTAATGAATTGAGGGATTTATTTTTCATCCGATAAGTTTATTTGTTATTTCGCAGTCCAAACGCGATATTTCTCTTTATATCCGATGCAACTGTGAGAGTGTTTCTTGAAGGCAAAAAGAACCAACCTTTATTGAGACGCTCTTGGTAGCCGAATAAATATGTGGGCTCAGTTTCAAAACATGTCGTAGGACATATTTCTTTTTATCTTCTCGAGTTTACAGACAAAATTATCCTTTAATATAAGTTACCGTTTGATATAAAATGGAGCGTCTATAAAGTTTGAAGCTAAATATATATTCTTCCTCTCACCCCCGCTATGGGTAAATAGCAGGACAGACTGGGTCCTACAGCTTTGGATGGAAACAGGTCTAGGATAAGCCAATCTCTGAATTCAAAACCTCAAGGAGCGTCGTTTGGGAACTTTGTGGACGTAGTACACCAGGTCTCTTATTATGCTCATTATTTATTTGTTAATTTTGGGACCTAGGCAACATTTCAGCTAACGCTTCTTCGTGGACCGATCGCTGGTACTACTGAAACAATGATAATTAGGCTACAAATATGCGGGAAAATTCTTGGGGATAAGCCTGGAACATGTCTAAAACAGAAAAAAATATAGACGTAAACTGAAGAGAATAAGTAAATTAACCAACCAGAGCACAAAACAACAAAAGAATCGCTCACTAACCGCCAAATAATTTTTAAAAAGCGCAAAAAATGTCCTTTTATCATCAGAGAGATTGTTGCAATTTGAGACAAATGGTTTCGAGAACGAACAAATGGTGCTTTGGCCTCTCTCTCTCTCTCTCTCTCTCTCTCTCTATCTATATATATATATATATATATATATATAACGAAAGATAGAACAAGAGTGCTTCGTATAATATATGTATTACATTTTATAAGCCGTTTAATGAAATTTAAGTAAGTAAAAAATGGTTAATAACATTGGTAAAAAGATATATGATATTTTTTCAATATTATTAGGAATTTTGACAAAATTGTAGCACGAAGACAAGGATTTTCGTTGAAAAACGACACAGCCATGTCCCAAAATTCCGTCATTAAAATCTTTCTCTTCCTGATTAAATTAAGTCAAAATACTACTAATATATAATTATTACCATCAGTCCTATTGCTTATATTGTTATTACTTCTGTTGCATTTTTATTACTTAAATTTCATTAACCACACTATTAAATCTATCCCTCTTTTGCTTTATCGTTGTGTATCTGTATCACAATATATATATATATATATATATATATATATATATATGCTGCAACGTTTACGACTATTTTTGTCTAAAGTATATATAATTCTGAGAACTTTTAAAATATAGCGGGCGGAATGTCAATGATTTTAGGAAAAGATTTCACTTTCATTTGTTCTTCGGGCTTTGTGCCAAATCGCAATTGTGACATAAGCCCATCCGAGCAGAAATGTCAGTCCTAATTTTTCTCTGTTTTCAAGATGTTCGACTCCGCAACAGTCCAACCTTAATACGCACAATAACAGCCCATTCATCAGACTTGTTATTCCTGTATTTAATGTTGATTTTTCATATACTAATGTTTGCATATATATATATATATATATATATATATATATATATATATATATATATATATATATATATATATATATATATATATATATATATATATATATATGAATGATCCGAAATAAAAAAGTATAAAACTTAATATTACTAGACATATTAAAACGCGCAAACAACCGGTTTTCTTTACCGCTCTTCAGGCTTCAACAGGAGATTTAATTTAAAATTAATACAGAAAATGTAAAACAAAAGGAAGTTGTGTTTTTTTTTTTCCTCCACAATTTCCTTTTATTGTACATTTTTCTGTGTTAATTTCAAATTAAATCTCCTTTTGAAGCCGGAAGAGCAGGGAGCAAATCTGTTGCTTCGCGTTTTTAATATGTCTAGTAATAAGTTTTACTTTTATTACGATTAAATTTTGTATACAATATATATATATATATATATATATATATATATATATATATATTTATATATATATATATATATATATATATATATATATATATATATACCTGATGCAACAGCCTAATCTATTTTCCTTAACACCTATGGCAAGTTTAATCCATAGTGCAAGTTATGTGTTTGTTACTTTAGTCCGTTGTGTTTGTCATAGACGCTTCGGCTATCATTAGGTAGGTGGCAGTTTTTTTTTTCCCGCAGTAGGTAGCCAGCTCTTTCTGTGGTAGACAATTTACCACCCAACCCGGTCTCTCCTGCTATTTACGCATAACTGGCGGGAGAAGAAAAGGATTCATACCTTTCCTAATGGTATTTGCACCTAAGTGAATACAATGGATTCAACTAGAATTCGAACTCAGCTCTCCGACTCCGAGCCACTACACATTACTCCACCTTTACTAATTTTAAAATACAGAATTTTTATGTTAGATTCAGAGTATGTTTCATCATTGATATCAAAGTAGCAAAGAATATTGAAAATGACTGCTTTTCTTTGTTGACTGTATGTACCTGGGTTTCTACTCCTTTTGAATAACGCTGATTCAGCGTTGGAGTGGTTTTTAGGCACAGCGGACAGCGATTTTCCAACGTGGGCATGATGGTTGGGTGAGATTTATATATGGATACCTTCTTTGATACTTGTTTTGCAATTTTTCACACACACGTATATATATATATATATATATATATATATATATATATATATATATATATATATATATATGCATGCATAGTATTATCTGAAACTCAACGGGAGAATCCGCTCGAGTTTCTTAATTTTCTGGTTGAGTGGCTTAAGAGCATGTCTGAAATATCCGGTTAGACACATGAAGTACTGGATAACTTGATACATAAAAAAATAATGGCCAATCTCATCAACTTTAGCAAAACTTTTTGCACGTCGTATATAAATTTGATGGGTGCGAAAGTTTCCGGCACTTTTTATTAAAAACAAATTCCTTAATATTTCAGAAAGTATAGCGCTGTGAGAAGATGTACACATCTTGCACTCCTGCAAACGCACAAATGTATGTATGCGTGTATGTGCGCGCAAGAAAAGTTAGATAATATTTTTAGTTCACCCATATATATATATATATATATATATATATATATATATATTTTCACCCTCGTAACACGGTAAGACAATGGCGACCGACTAGTCAACTTTGCAGTAGCTAATCGTCTTGTGTTGACTAACTCTCGTTTCCAGCACCCGCGACGACATTTCGTCAACTGGCGCTCCAATGACGGTCGTGCATCCAACCAGATTGACTACATTCTGGTACGGGCGAGATGGGCAACCTCTGTACTTGACTCTCGAGCCTATCGGGGTGCAGATATGGGCAGTGCGCATTGATCGGACCATACACTTCTCGGCGCACTGCGGGCAAGGAGATCCACCATGATCCTGAAGCGAATCAAGTTCGTCAATCTGAAACTACGCGCGTGAGAACAGTTCCGGTTGGAACTTCGCAATCCGTTCCCTCTCCTCCAACCAAGCTCAGAGCCTCAACCAGAAATTGAAAGGCAAGCTCTCAAATCTTCTACCGTCGAAGCGTCACACGCCCATTTTGGTGTCGCCAGTCACCGATATCAGGACTGGATTACCGGGGAGAGCCTTCTGCTGGTGGAGAAGGCGAGGGTAGCGCGACTGACAAGGAGCTGCAAAATTTCGCGATCTACGGTGCCGCGCAACTCACTCCATTCGCGCTGACTGAAATGCCGAAGGGACTGAACGTGCAGCAGCCTGTGGCGACTCTCGCAAACTCTACCAGATGGTGAGTCGGGCGTGTCGCGGAACTACGGGAGTGAGTGAAACGCTTCTCTCCCGTGATGGTGCTATTATCGCAGGTCTGGGCTAGCGGCGAAATCGGTGGAAAGAGCATTTTAACGAGCTACTCAATCATCCGACTCCGGCGACGGAAGTGGCCGTTGAACCGACCGATGAATACGACTGCAACACTGCCCCACCACCAACGGTAGATGAAGTGCGAGATGTTCTGCGCCATCTGCGTGGCAACAACGCTCTTGGTGAGGATTGCATACCTGCAGAAGTATATAAAGCCGTGCCAGATGTATTCGCCTAGTGGGTGCATCGTGTCTTCAATGTGGTCTGTCTCTCTGAGACCTCCTCTGCCGATTGGAGCGAGGTCATCAAAAAGGATGAGAGGAGATTCTGCTCGAACTACAGAGGAATCTGCCTCATCGATGTAGTGGCTAAAGTATTTGCATTGCTTCTCCTACGAAGATTTCAAGGCATCCGCGATCTGCGAACTCGCCCATCTCAGGGTGGCTCCGCCCAGGAAGGGGCTGTGTTGATCAGATCTTCAGCCTACGGTGCACCCTCGAACAACGCTGGGCATACCAGCAACCAACAGTCCTCTGCTTCGTCGACTTTGCGGCTGCTTTCGACTCCGTTGATAGCGTCTCACTCTGGCGTATGATGGAGGCCGATGGCTTGCCCGCTAAACTCCTTCGTCTCTCCAAGGGCTACTACCGGTCGATGCGAGCCCGTGTTCGTGCTTATGGTGAGGAATTTGAGACGTTTGAGGTGAAGATTGATGTGCGGCAAAGGTGTACCCTGTCCCCTACCCTATTCAACTATACAATCGACTACATCCTCGGCAAATCCCTTCGGGACTACGCTGGAGTTGCGGTTGGTCGGAATGTCAGGGTGCCTGATCTGGCCTACGCGGACAAAATTTCTTGGTCGGATCGAACTGTGACGGTGGGAAAGCTGTGCTCAACTGTGTGCAAGCTGCAGCACGGGATGTGGGTATGACTATCAATGCCTCGAAGACCAAAGTTATGCCGTCCCTGGTTGATCCAATCAGCTGGCAGCCACTGACGCTGGATGGGGTCAATCTGGAGGACGTGTAGTCTTTCTTCTATCTCGGTTCAACCATTATACCATCCGGGAAGGGTGCTGCCGAGGTTAAACGCCGTATAGGAGCTGCAAGGTCTGCATTCGTGCGTCTCAAGCGGTCACTATGGTGAGATTTCCACGCCTACGAAAGGGCGCATCTATCAGGCTATTGCTTGGACTATCCTTTTCTATGGCTGCGAAACGTGTCCACTTGGAGCGGTTGACCTACGAAGGCTTGACGTGTTCGACAACGATTGCTTCGCTGCATTCTACGATGCCGCTGAATCCATTGAGTGTCCGCGGCGTCTCTACGTCGTCGCCTATGTCTCCGTCCTCTTTCACCCGTCCGATTGTTCGGGCACGTTGCTCGACGCCCGGAGGAAGAGCTCATCCGCGATATGCTTCTCCCTCCTTCTCTTCCTAGTTTTCGAAAACGTTTTGGTGGGCAGCTGAGGATGTGGGCTAGTACAATCAAAAATGACCTAGCAGTACTATTGGGCCCACAAGTAGTTGGTCTTCGACGATGGAATCGCGATTGGCTCGCCATTTCGTGTGACCTGGCTCAGAATCGGCAAGCGTGGGCAGCGATGGTCTGTGATGCTGTACTTGCTCAGGAGGAAGCCGGTTCAACCCGACCAGGGTGAAAATCGATACAAGTCAAGTCATATATATATATATATATATATATATATATAGTTATGTTTGGTTGAGTAACTTAGACATATTATGTCTATTTATTTTCTTTTAATCCTCTCAAATTCATGGAATAATTTTTTAATGTTGTTACAAAACTGATTAAGAAAGACGCCGTAGTTTAAGTTATTTCTTTTATTTTCACAAATATTTTCAATGTTTTCCCAGATCATTTTCATGGGTGAATTGCTAAGACAGAAATTAATGTAATTGATAGTTGTGATCTTGTTTTTGTAAATGCGCATGACCCCCGCTGTTATATTCAATTTACAAATTAACATTAAGCAGATGTAATCGAGTTAGCTTAGATTATTTTTATTATTGCTGCTTTCAAAAATTATATTCAACATGCTTTTCATGTGCATTTACAAAAAGATTCACAACTAACAATAACATTAACACACACATATATATATATATATATATATATATATATATATATCCAGCTAATATTTGAATATTTTTTATGTATGCAACCTTCAAAACATATAACTTGTCTAGCATGAGATTGTCTAATATACAAGATGTATCCATTTACATTCACTCCTGTTTAACGTTTGTTGCTGCCATTGATTTCAAATCTACGGGTCATGACCCATTTATAAAAGATAATTTCTTAATTTTTGCTTCTCCCTTTAGTTTTAATGTAACGTAGATCATATACAGTTGGTTGATCTGAGTAAAGCTGTGGCACCATTTACCAAGGCAGAAAAAGAAAAGAAAGAAAAGAAAGGAAAGGAGAGGCGAAGACCCAAAGCGTGGATGATCAGCAGAACACCACGGCTAAGAGACAATGGATAAAGGATATTTTGATAAGTAACAAATGGCGAAAGAGTGTCATTACAATGGCAGGGAAATTCTGAGTGGATAAAGGAATCGGGTGTGTTCTGGCGTCGGGCTGTGTTATCTGGGATCCATAAACAAACCGCTGGTGGGGGAAAGCATCTGATTAAGCAAACCCCAGACGACTAGCCAAGAAAAGTCTAATTGAAAACGTCAATTTTGATAATTGACAAAACACAGGTGAAACTACAGGGCTTTGGATAGATATGAAAAATTAATTGTGTCAAAAGCCGCACACGATGTGTCCACTGACCGATTTCTTTCGACGGAACATCTTTAGCCTGCGATAATATAACTGTGTTATCAGAAATGTGTACCGAAAAAAATGAATGGGAACTTAGAAATGTTTCTTTTCGAGGCGACGGTCTGGCAGTGTTAAAGAGACCACCCATTCTGATAATTAGCGATAAGATGACTGACGAAGTCCAGGTGAGGTCAAGAGTTATGACCACCATCGTTCGTATTGTTTTGTTTGCGGCTAGAGAAAATGATAACTGCGATTAAAAGAAAGAAAAGGAAAGGAAAAGATATTTTTTTTTTTGTTAAGCAAGATTTTTTTTTCCTGAAACAAAGCCGCGGAATCGTACACGCCCGACTAAGACATCATTGGTCGAGTGGTGATAACGTGACGCAAGGAGGAGTCTGTCACCGCCCATCCAGAGGATGGGTATGAGAGGTTGCTACGAAGAAGTGGGGAGGGCAGTTCACGCCCTCTGAAGTATGGTGAGAAGGTGGGAGTAAGAGAAGGCTCCCAAAAATGGAAAAAAGTGGAAAATTCCTAACCAGAAATAAAAGAGGTGGATATGTATTTAGAATTATCGAGTAACCCCCGGCGCCGACAAACCCACCCCGGTTTTGGTCGGCGTCCATATAAGCGAAGTCGCAGCGAGCAGAAATCAGTTTTTTTTTTCAGATGAGTTGCAGTTTCAGTTCAAGTTAAGTTGGTTCCGCCTCGCAGATAGCTGACTTGAAAGATTCCCGCAAATTCCTGACTCCTCTTCAATCTAAGAACAATTAATTTGAAGAGCGACTTAGATCCAGACCACCAAAATAAGTTTTTTTTCGACTTTCGCCCGAAGACACACCGAAAAACCAATTTCTTAAAGGGCAAACAACTTGAAGTGTTAAAACTCGCCTAACGGAAAACAACGTGTCACTATCCATAGAACGGGTCGGGAAATAGACGCAGAATATGTATCCAACAACTAGACATAAAGTTTGTTATCTGTGGGATCTGTGCTTTCACCGAGGCCAGCACTACTGACGGTTGCGTGGGCAGTGGGCAATTTTTGTTCCTTGTCCGGGTGTTCGCCCTCGGGTCTCCATCTCAAAAAAAGACCTTGTGTCACATCTCGTCTCACTGGATCAATAGAGTAAATACCGACAGAGATATATGCGAAGATTAGTTCAGACACAAAACAAAAAAGTACAAAGCGACACCAAGTTAGGTTCGAACTCACTATGAGTTAATAATACGTATTTATATAATAAGTGGTGTTATATTTAGAATAATTCTAAAACTATAGAGATACATAGTGAGTTTCTATATTAGTACACTGTAGTAATTCGAAGTTATATCCTTATCGTGGTTTTGAGATGTATTCACGTTTTCAACGGGCGAGTAAGCTTAATTCCAGCAGATAAGACGTCAGAGTAATAAAAAAGAAAACAATATGGATCCAATTAAGTATACAATCAAAAGATCTGTGAACGGATGTAAACAGAATGCTCTCTAACGCACTTGCTATTATATATTCAGTGTCAAATCTCTTGGCAGGCCATTTCTCGTAACAGTTTCCTTTAGAACAACTTTCCTTCTACGTCTTATTCCGTCATTAGCATTTGAAAAGCGAAGATCTTAACTGACAGGCGAACTTGCAACAATTCGTCTGCAGTTATCGGCCTTTTCCTCCGACACTCACAATGCAGTAACATCGATATGAGTCTATTCACGATTGCTGTCTGTCCGCAGCCCATGGCTAACTAGAAAGAAAAAAAAACGATACCAATTGTTTTGTAAAAATATTTCTATCTTATTCTTTTTTTGTGTTCTGCGACTGGTCTGCTTTTATTTGGTAGTATCGACTTGAAGAATGATCATGGATATTTACAACCTACATTATTTTGAGCAAATCAGTGGAAAAAAACGACGGTAATATGGAATTATTTAAATTCTTGCCTATGTTCATTCCACTAATGTTATATATTATTGAATGATTTACTTGTTATTCGCGTAAAAGCGAATGTACGATGTTATATTTCAACTTTAAAAAGATAGTAAACTTGTTCGTAATAAATTTCTTATAGTAGGTATAATTTCTATTTTGTTGAATCTTTTCGGACAGAAAGAAGCTTTTTGTCTACCTCTTTGTCTACTTAATTTAAAGCAAAAAAAGAAAAAAGAAACAGATAAAAACCTGTGAAATAGATTTCCATTCGTATCGTTGCCAACAGAGTTTGGTGTCTCGTAGAGAATTCTCAATGCCTCAGAAGCTTCTGAGATTCAAGCGACAGATTTTTATATTATTTACTCCTCGAAACTTCGTTTCTGTTGATTAATAGTAGTTCCTGCCGTCTTTTAATAAGAGTGATTATAATAGACATTGCGAAAACTATTCTGTTATCAGTCGAATGATTTGTGTTCGATGTTTTTAATAAATAGATATGGCAAATTAGATTTTTTCTTTGATAATCAGCATACTTATTATAAAAACCAGGTTGTGTGTGTGTGCGCGTGTCTGTACGTTTATATATTGGATCGAATTTCCTACATTTCTCAACCGATTTAAACAAAATTTCACAGGACTACGTAAAATTACATTTCGGAGGTTCTGACAACGCCAAAAATTGGAAAAACACAATTGTTTTTGCACGAAATCAATTTGAAAACACAATAAGGAGGCATCGCGAGAATGAAAGGGTGACAACTCATATCAAGTTATACTTGTTATAAAACCCAGATTGTTTTTGTGTGTGTGTGTGTTCGTTTATACATTTTTCAGCCGATTTCAACAAGACTTAAGTTTTTTGGCAGGTAGTTTTTCTTATTGTCTTGCACACTTTTTTCTTTATTTTTACATTCAGAATGCTTTAAAAATCCCATTTACAACACAATTGTTTATAACAAAATTCTATTCTATCGATAGACTTATAACGATTGAAAACAATGTTTTTGTTTGAGTTTGGGTTTGAACAATTCGTAAAAAAACAAAAAAAAACTAATTAAGACATGCGTGTCCGTCAACCTTAAACAATAATCTTTGTCAATTTTAATTTTCAGTCTTTATGATGGTCGATACTTGATCTATCTCTTACTGTTACATCCCCGGGCAACGCCGGGCTCTACTGCTAGTTATAAAATAAACATAGTCGTGCATAATTCGAAAAAGTCTCTCTTTGATTAATATTACATAAGAAATATATATATATATATATATATATATATATATATATAAAGAGAGAAGATGTCGCAAAATTTTTTTTTACATATATTTTATTTTATATATTTTCGGGTCTTGGGATATTCATCAGGCGAAGAATGTTTATTCACACATATTATTTAAAGGAGTTATTTTTTTCTTCTTCCTATATTAAATCATTTAACCATTGTCTTTTTGTGCACTAGTACTAATTTGGACTCGCGGAAAATATTCATTTACTTGAGGGAAAATAAAAATAAAATTTATTCAGAGAAAGGTAAAGTGAGGGGCGACTTTGTTCTAATCTTTTATGCCCCCGTGTCTATATCAGACATTCCTCTATTCTTGTGTATTGATTCTCTGTGTGTGTGTGTTTTTTTACCAGGATGTATATATATATATATATATATATATATATATATATATATATATATATATATATATATATATATATTTCTCCGTATATATATATATTCTATTATTTCAGGAAATATACACATTGTATAGTGTGTAGGTTTCGTGTGTGTGTGCATCTACGGATTTGTGGTCTGTCTACTGTGTTAGTTTTCCCAGTATACGTACATCTATTCATTTTCAATATAGATAAATAAACCTATAGAGTAACGATATGCATTTTGTATGGTGTGCTTGTGTATGTGTGTAGTGTGTATTTCTACTGGTATGCTTTGCAATAAAATTTCCTTTAGACCAAAGCTGAAACCTAAAAAAACACAACAACGGCCAAATTCTAGCATACATCTCAACATACAAGAAGAATCCAGAATTATTGACAGAAATAACATGAAAATTCTACCTATGCAACAAGAACGATGAAATAATAGATATACTAAGAACAACCAAAATAATTAAATGCAAACGCCAATCAAAAAAATATCAACATAAAACACAACGTGTCGGCCGGTGTACTCTCTGATCTTCTTCAGGTGGTTGGAATGTCGAACTGAAACATTTATTTTTTCATAGATCAGAAACTCCGCCCACTTCGTGGAAATAATCAAAGATACCGGCATCCTATCGAAACCCCATGGTGAACTTGGATGTGGTGAGATTTTCACCAAGGTACCCACAGAGGAGGCACTCTCAGTATTCAGAGACAGATTGACCTCTGACTCATCCCAAGAAGAACGTAACAGTATGCCAATAGATAATCTGATGGAGATTTTGACTTTCTGTACACAAACAGCACACTTCAGAATGGGATCACACATATATCGACAGGATGAGGGGTTAGAAATCGGCTCGCCATTGTAACCAGCAATAGCGAATATATACATTGAGGAAATGGCATTAGAATATATATCCCTAAAGCCAAATCTATGGTTAAGGTACATAGATGATATCTTCATACTTTGGCCACGCCAGGAAGAAGTTCAGGTTCTACTGAACCATGTGAATTCAATAAGACCATCGATATAGTTAACAATGGAGAAAGAGAGTAACATCACACTCCCATTACTGGATGTTCTAATATCTCGAACAGAGCATGGGTTCAAGACATCCGTATAAAGTAAATCGACATTCACCGGACAGTGCCTCAATTTCGAATTCCACCATCCACACAGCGTAAAGAAAGGAATCGTCCGCTGCTAACAACACCAAGCAAAAATCATAAGTGGCGACCCAGAGACATTAGATAAAGAATTATTCAGTATAAGCAGTACACTACAACATAACAACTAACCTGGGTACATGGCAGCAGACCCCAAAAACTGGAATAGGCGGGTACAACAA